ACTATGTTTGACTATTTTGTTGATTATTTTTTGGGGTATCTTCTATTTTATTGAAAATTCCCCTATAGGGGGACAGGCCCGCCATAATCCTGGGGAGGCATCCCTCCAGCTGCCGCGGCGCCCCCCGGAGCCCCGCGGCGCCCCTCTGCGGCGCGGCGGCCGCCGCGGCGGCGCTGGCGGCGCGCGGCCCGGTGGCCGGCAGGCGCCCATGGGCTCCCGGGGAGGTCTGCCTCGGGGGCGCCGCTGTGTTACGTCGCATCTCCGGGGGGCGGAGGAGGAGGAGGAGGGGGAGGAGGAGGTGAAGGAGGAGGGATGAGGAGACGAGGATGAGGAGGGATGAGGAGGAGGAGGAGGAGGAGGACGAGGAGGAGGAGGAGGAGGAGGAGGGATGAGGAGGATCAGGAGGAGGAGGAGGAGGAGGAGGAGGAGGAGGAGGAGGAGGAGGAAGGCCCCCCGCACCCCCGAGGTTCGGGCCGGACGAGGGGAGGGGGCGGAATCCGACACGGAGTCGACACGGAGTCGACGAGTCCGACATGGAATCGACACGGATTCGACGCAGATAGTGGCCCCCGAGGATGCAGCATATTGTTGTGCTCCAGTCAGGGGGGGTATCGGCGAAGGTGTTCGCACGTGTTCGCTGGTTGCCGGCGGTCTTGCGGCCTCGTGGTGCTCTCTAGCGGCTTGCGCCTCTCCGATAGCGTCCTGAAGCAGCTTGACGATCCCGAACGGCCGCTGGAGAGCCGAACTGCGACCTGAAAGCCATGGAACAACGTGGGGGGGGGACAGGCTCAGCCAATCGCCCATTCATTGCCGATGGGGGCGGCCCGAAAGCCCACCCAGCCCATGAACGCCCGGGTTCGCAATCGGTTCCTATGGCCAGACCTATCGGCGACGGATCGCCGATTCCAGCTCGATGCCTTCCGCCCTGAGCCAGTCCCCCCATTCGCTCCCCTTCAATGTCACAGAGAAGGGACGGGTCCACATCCACGGCACCACTACCTCTCGTGCTCGAGATCGCTTTCGATGGACGCGGTTATAGGCCTCGTGAGGGCAAGTGGATCTGAAGGTGAATGCCCCTGGACGGGCACCGTGCGCTTGTGCTCCGCGGTCGTGTTCATAGGAAGCAAAATAAGCATCCCAGGCACAACTATCGGGCCGACTCTCTTCTAGGGAGGGGCTCGAAGCCCCCGATCCCTGCTGGAAGGCCTCCAGCCTTCCCAGAAAGGCCGCCACGCTCGCCCCGCCCGCCCTCGCTTCCAAGACGCCCTCCCGACCTCGTCCTGAGACTCCTCCTGCTCCTTTTCTCCTCCTCCTCCTCCTCCTCCTCCTCCTCCTCATCCTGCTCCTGCTTCTGCTCCTGCTCCTCCTCCTCCTCCTGCTCTTCCTCCTTCTCCTCCTCCTCTTCCTGCCTCTCCTCCTCCTCCTCCTCCTCCTCCTCCTCCTCCTCCTCCTCCTCCAACTCCTTCTTGTTCTCCTCCTCCTCCTCGTCCTCCCTCATCCTCCCTCCCCCTTCCTCCTCCTCCTCCTCCTCCCCTCTTCCTTCCACCTCCTCCTCCCCTCCTCCCTTCCTCCCTTCCTCCTCTCCTCCTCCTCCTGATCCTGCTCCTGCTCCTACTCCTCCTCCCTCCTCCTCCTCCTCCTCCTCGTCTCCTCCTTCCTCCTCCTCCTCCTCCTCCTCCTGCGCGCCTGCTCCTCCTCCTCCGCCTCCCTCCTCCTCCTCCTCCTCCTTCCCCCTCCCCCTCTCCTCCCTCCTCCTCCTCCTCCTCCTCTCTCCTGCTCCTCCTCCTCCTCCTCCTCCTTCCTCCCCCCTCCCCCTCCCTCTCTCCTCTCCCTCCTCCTCCTCCTTCTCCTCCTTCTCCTCCAACTCCTGCTCTCTCCTCCTACTCCTCCTCCTCCTCCTCCTCCTCCTCCTCCTCCTCCTACTCCTACTCCTACTCCTACTCCTACTACTACCCGTCCTTCTTGTCTTCCTCTTCCTTCTCCTTCCACCTCCTCCTCCTCCTCCTCCGCCTCCTCCTCCTCCTGCTCCGCATCCCTCTCATCATCATCATCAGCATCCTCATGCTCCTCCTCTTCCTCCTCCTGCCTTCTCCAAAGGCCGCCGCTTTGGCCCCGCCCACCCCCTGCTCGCTGACAACAGGAGGCCCCACTGGGGCGTCGCCCAACTAGCTTGGACGGGCGTTCTGAAAACGACCTCGGCCTTCATGGGGGTCCTCTTCGAGCACCCGCACCCGTCCGGAGGACGTCCCGTGATGGACAAGTACAGATCCAATGGTTTGGGGTAGATCAGGAAGGAACAACACACAGACAATGAGTTGTCGACCCCCAAGGGGATAGCAGGAACAAACGATGTGTTGTTTTTTTGGGGAGGGAAGACGAAAATGTATATACATAACTTACGACAAATGATCGGGAATCATGGTATTCGTGTCTATTTGATAGTGTGTCCCTAGGCCCCTTCAGTAGGAGCATCGTCGCGCCAGAATCATGATGTCGTTGGGAGGAGGAGGAGGAGGAGGAGGAGGAGGAGGAGGAGGAGAAGGAGGATAAAGCCAATGAGGTTGTCGGAGGTGTCTAAGTGCTGGGGCCCCTTTGGCAGCTCGAGCTCGACGAGAGCTTCAAAGTGCTTCTCCCCCTCCTTCGTCCTCCGTCCTCTCCGCTCTGTCCTTCCTCCTCCCTCTACCCTGAACCCTTCTCTCACCCCCCTCCCATCCTCACTCCCCCCTCCACCATTCTCCCTCGTTCTGCTTCTGCCTCGTTCCGCATGGTCCAATCTCCCCCCTCGCCGGTCCCTTCTTGTCCTCCGGCCCCTCCTTCATACCCCCACTGCCCGCTTGATCCCTCTATCCTCCACTGCCTCCCTCCTCAGCCTGCTACTCCTTATCCTCCTCCTCCTCCTCCTCCTCCTCCTCCCCCTCCTCCTCCTCCCCTCCTCCTCCCCCTTCCCCTCCTCCTCTCCTCCTCCTCCTCCTCCTTCTCCTCCTCTCCTCCTCCTCCTCCTCCTCCTTCTCTCCTCCTCCTCCTTCCCCCTCCTCCTCTCCTTTCCTCTCCTCCTCCTCCCTCCTGCTCCTCCTCCTCCTCCCCTCCTCTCCTCCTCACTCCTCCTCCTCCTCCTCCTCTCCTCCCTCCTCCTCCTCCTCTCTCCTCCTCTCCTCCTCCTCCTCATCTTCCTCGCCCTCGTCCTCCTCGCCCCTCCCGAGTCCGACTGGCCAACCTCCTCCCCCTCCTCCCCCCCCTCCCCCTCCTCGCCCCTCCCGAGTCCGACAGGCCAGACTCCTACAGGAACAGCCGCAGGAGCAGCAGAAGACGTGGGCTGGGCACCCAGACCCGTCGACCTGTTCTGGAGCGCGTTCCGACCTGTTCATCCCGAGGTGTCCTTCGATTGCTCCGGAGCCCGCCAGGGGTCCCCAGAAGCCGGAAACAGTAAGGAATCTCCCCCCCGTGGGTTTCATCGCGACGAGATGGGCGCCTTCTTTGTTTTCGCCTTCGTCGAAGCGGAAGATTGAGATGTAGGGGATTTAGCTAGCGGCGGGGTGAGGAGGGGGAGCAGAGGAGGGGGAAAGAGGAGGAGGAGGAGGAGGAGGAGGAGGAGGAGGAGGAGGAGGAGGGAGGAGAAGGAGGAGGAGGAAGCGGAGGAGGAGGAGGAGGAGGAGGAAGAGGAGGAGGAGGACTAGGGAAGACAATGAGGAGCAGGAAGAGGAGGATAAGGAGGACCAGTGCAAGTCCACGCGTCATCAACCGATGCCTTCCCTCCAAGTTTCCTCTTCACTGAGCTCTACAATAATTTGTGTTCATTGCGGACAGCGCACCATTGTAAAACAACCGTTTGAGAATCCTCAATCGTGACAAGCACCGTTTTTGCGACCTCAACACTGCGAATCAGAGTGACTGTTGCGTCCTGACAACCCACTGGTGTGTACCAGAACGCCGTTCCTGGGATTCCAACACCGCGAATCAACGTGGTTGCCGCCTTGTGCCAATCCCAAGTCGTACCAGAAAACCACCCGTGCGAATTCAGCCATACGACGGGTTGCAGTTTCCAAGAAGAAAGCGCGCGGCGCTAAGGCGACAGCCACACTTTGAAAACGACCCGCCCTCCATCCGTGAACCTGCTGGAAAAAACTTGTCACACGAATGTGCGCGGCGCTGAAGCGATTCGTGATATTGCCCCAAACTGTCAGCGCCACTTTGTGCAAACCACCTGCCCTCCACCCTCGAAGCTGCTGCAATTGTTTACGACGAGTGCGCGCGGCGCAAAGGCGAGAGCCACGCTTTGAACACGTGCCGCCCTCCATCCTTGAAGCTGCTGCGAACTGTTAGGGCGAGTGTGTTCGGCGCTCACAAGGAGAGCCTCATTTTGAAAACGGTCCACCCTCCATCCGTGGCACTACTGCTAGTTTCAAGCTCCAGGATCAGAAGTGGTGTGGAAGTCTCAGGCGGAACGCCCGGAGGAGGAGAAGGAGGAAGGGGCGGAGGAGGAGGGCTCTGGCGAGTGGATTCTACTCGTGCACCCCCTCGGGAGGAGGAGGAGGAGGAGGAGGAGGAGGAGGAGGAAAGCAAGGGGGGGAAGAGGAGGAGGAGGAGGGAGGAGGAGGAGGAGGAAGCAGAAAGAGGAAGAGGAGGAGGAGGAGGAGGAGGAGGAGGAGGAAGCAGAGGGAGGAGGTCCCCCCCCCCCCCTGCAGGAGGAGGAGCGGCCGCCGCGGCAGCGGTGGGAGACGGCCCGGGCCCAGCCGCACTGCCTCGGCCGCCGCGGCGGCGCCCGCGGCGGTGCTGCCGCCCAGGCGCTCGGCGGCGACGGCGCGACGGCGGCGGGAGCGACCACGACGCGATGGCGGCGATGGCGGCAGCGGCGACGGCGACCCACGACGCGGTGGCGGCGACGGGCGGCGACAGCAGCGGCGAGGCGCCCGACAGCGCCGCCGCCGCCGCCCGGGCCGCCCCGAGAGCCGCGGCCTCTGGGGCGCGACGCGGCGACGGGCGCCGCCGCGGGCGGCTGGGAGGTCAGGGCGGCGGACCGCGTCGCCGTGGAGGCGCTCCGCGGGCGCCGGCGACGCCGCCGCCGCCGTCGCTGCTGCCGTCGCCGCCGTGGTCGCCGCCGCCGCCGCGGCCGTGGGCTCTGCCGCCAGCGCACTCGCCAGCGAAGTTGCAGTCGGCGGTTGCAGTCCCTGGCTCTGGCCTCTGCCGTGGCCGCCGTCGCCCTCGCAGTGGAAGTCGAGGTCGGCAATGATTCGGGCGGGCGGGCCATGACGGGCGGGGTCAGGCGGGCAGGCCCCAAAAGGCGGGTCGTGCGGGCGGACCTCAGCGGGCGGCACTCGCGGGCGGGTCAGATCGGGCGAGGCACGAGGTCGAGGGGTTCATGGCGCGGGACATCAGCCCGTGCGGCCCGGTCGCGCGGGGCCTCGCGTCGGATCTCGGGGCCCCTTGGGGGTATTTGGGGAGGCGTTTTTGGAGGCCTCTCTTGGCCTCTTGGGCGCTTCTGCGGGTCTTGGAGACCCGTCAGGGGTCCTGGAGGTCATCTTGGGGGGGAAGGCTCCCAAGGTCTCTCCGAGTGCCAGGCTTCTCCCGGGGCGCTCTCGGCAGCCTCCTGGGCCGTCTTGTGGGCCTCTAGGGCCGACTTGGGATCTCTCGGTGGGCCTTTTTGGGGTCTCTTGGGGGGCTCTTGGGCCGTCTGGGCGCGGCTCGGGGCCTCTTGAGGCATCTTGCGATCCCTGACGCTCGAAAGCGTGAGTACCCCCAAATCAGTGAGAAGTCCAAGGGATGTCAAAGATGTTGGCCTCTTGGTGCCCGATTGGGGGTCCTCTTGCATCCCTCGTGAGGCGACTTGGGGGCCTCTGGGGCCGTCTTGAAACCATATTTGGCTGTTTTGGAGAGTGTATGGGCTGTCTCGGAGTCCTCTTAGTTGTGCGATTGGACCCGTAAAATGGCTCTTCCAATCGGAATGTATCCAGTGTCTCAAGCTGGTGCTCCCGCTGCAGCATGGGCCTCGGTTTAGGATCGGCGCTTTCATCCCGTCGTTCAGAATGGAGCTCTCGCCCCAGCGGGGGCCACTTTTCTGATCCGGGTCCTTCCGCGTCGTTATATCCCCGACCCTTTCCCCTCCTTCGCCTTCCCCTGGTCATCCTGCTCTTCCTGCTCCTCCCACTCCTGCGACTGCTGCTGCTGCTGCTGTTCCTCATTGTCCTCTCCCTTTTTCCTCTTCTTCCTCCTCCTCCTCCTCCTCCTGCTTCTCCTCCGCTTCCGCCTGCTCATCCTTCTGCTTAACTGCCACCTGCTCCTCCAACGTACGCATCTCCCAATCTCTGATTGCGCATAACACGATGGGCGCCCTTGGGCGATTTCAAATCTGCTATGGCACCCGTTGGTGGATATATAGATAAAGCAGCGCGATGATAATACATAAGTGGATGTGAGGGGCAGAAGTCCGATGTGGCGCCTGGCCTAGCGTGCTTCTCTGCTCTCTCCCACCTCCACTGTGGGTTCGAAGGAGTGGTGCAGCGAAACATGGGAATCAACCATCACGCACGGCAATATTGCAAGCAAGCAAACAGGACGGTTTGAAAGCAAACAAGTAGTTCGTCACGCAAGCAAGCACGAACGCGGGCAAGAATGCAAGCAGGCAAATGAGCCAGGGGCATGCAATCATGGAAGAAGGCCATCTGGCAGTGATAGCCAACAAGGATACGAATTGGATTCGGAAACGGATCCGTTCAAGCCGCTATGCTATTGGATCCGGCTTGCGGCCCTGTATCACCAGAACCGAGCCGATTCTGTCATGATCTGTCATGGTTCACTATCTCTACATGCCGTCTGATTGCAGTAAGGTGGTTGGCTTTCTCTTCTATGAGCCAGAGACGCTCGACGCATGACGTATGACGGTGTAGGCGTCAGTCCGTTATATTCAACCAAACCTATGTTACAAACGGTTGGCATTTGTAGCCATGGATCACGATGTCTACAAATGGGGCACATTGTTTCTCTCGACCAATGACCCTCTGCGCAGTGATTTCCCAATCAGAGCTTGCCTCTGTAGGGGTCCTAGCGGATTCATATCGTTAGGTTTGCCGCCGATTTTCGCCGCACGCCCGGGTGCCCGGGTGCCCGGGGGTGCCCGGGTGCCCGGGTGCCCGAGGGGGGCCCGGGGGTGCCCGGGTGCCCAGGCGTGCCCGGGCGTGCCTGGGGGTGCCCAGGGGTGCCCAATAGCCCAATAGCCCTACAACTCTATAGCCCTATAGCTCTATGGCCCTATAGTTCAATAGTCCTATAGCCCTATAGCCCCCTAGCCCTAGAGCCCTGATTGGGGCTTTTCTCCGGTATCATTAGGTCTCGTGGCCTTCGGCCCACCCCGCCACCGCGCCTTGATTGCAGGCCGGAGGCCTCTTGGATGCCTGTGAGGATCCGAAGAATCCGGAAAGGCTACGTAGGAACTCCCAGAAGAAGCCAGGAGCGCAGGAGATCCTTGTGAAGCTCTGGGCTGTGGGCCCGGTAAAGAATCCCCAGGACGGAGGACGTAGGCCTCGAAAGAGACCAGAGGGCATTGTTCCCCTGTTGTACGCTCTTTTTGCTTCAGCTCGAGCCCCAGGCCGTCTCGGCCCCAGGCCCGCTGGGCGCCCGGCTCGGCCCGAGGGGATGGGGCCACCGCGCCGTCGGCTCGAGCTCGGGTGGGACGCCGCGTTGTTCGCCGTGGTCGCGGCCCACGTCGTCGTGGCCCCGTACACCAAGGTGGAGGAGAGCTTCAACCTGCAGGCTGATGGGCCGATTATCCACCACCACCACCACCATAGGTAGGAGAGGGAGGAGGAGGAGGAAGAGGATGAGGAGGAGGAGGAGGAGGACGAGGACGAGGACGAGAACGAGGAGATCTCCCATGGCATTGGTGGTGGACAATTGGCCCATCACAGGCGGCCCACGACGCCATCACGCACAGGTCCGAGCTGAGCCTCTGGGACCACCTGCAGTTCCCCGGCGTCGTGCCGCGCACCTTCCTCGGCGCGCTGGGCGCCGCGGCGCTCGCGGCGCCCGCCGCGGCGCTCGGCGCCCCGCCGCTCGCACTGCTGCACGCGGTGCGCCTGGCCGTGGCCGCCGGCTCGGTGGCGGGCTTCGCGCGGCTGCGCTCGGCCGTGGCGGCCGTGTTCGGCGAGACGGAGGCACGCGCGCTGGCCACGATCACGGCGATGCAGTTCCACCTGCCGTTCTACATGAGCCGCACTCTGCCGAACACGTTCTCGCTGATGCTGGCCTGCGTGGCCCAGGGGTACGCGCTGGAGGGCTCGGGGTACAGCTGCCTGGCGGTGCTCGGCGTGGCGGCCGCCGTGTTCCGATGTGATCTGCTCGTCCTCATCGCTCCGATGGGCTTGATGCTGCTGGCGCAAGGGCAAGTCAAGTTCTTTCGCGCGGCGGCCACGACGGCGGCCGCCGCGGGCACAGCAGCCGCAGTCTCTGTGGCGGTGGACTCGGCGCTGTGGGGCAGGCTGCTGTGGCCCGAGCTGGAGGTGCTGCTGTTCAACACGGCGGAGAACAAGTCCAGCGAGTGGGGCACCTCGCCGCCCCTCTGGTACTTCTACTCGGCCCTCCCCCGCACGCTGCTCGGCGCTATCCCGCTGGCCGTCTTGGGCGTGCTGCTCGAGAGGCGGTCACGGGCGCCAGCAGCGGTCGCCCTCAGCTTCGTGGCGCTGTACTCTTTCCTGCCGCACAAGGAGGTGAGATTCCTCTTCCCAGCGCTGCCGCTCTTCAACGTTGTTGGTGCGGTTGGCGCTGCGCGATGCTTGCGAATGAAGGGCCTCATGCGCAAGCTCGGTGTGGTGGCGCTCGCTGGACTTGCGGCCATCACAGTGCTCGGAGGCATGGTGTTCGGAGCCGCGTCTGCGGCAAACTATCCAGGCGGCGTGGCGCTCGCCGCTCTGCACCAGCTTGAGCCGCCGAGCCCAGCACTGACCGTGCACATTGGGAACCTGGCTGCGACCTCGGGTGTGTCACGCTTCCTGGAGCAACACGACTCCTGGACGTACTCGAAAGAAGAGGGCCTGAGCGTGGATGCCCTCGCAGGCCGGAGCTTCGACCGCCTGCTCACAGAGTGGCCTTCGGTTCCTGGATACAAGTGCTTGGGCGCAGCTTTGGGCTTCGAGCGGGTGTCGTTCACCAAGCGACTCATGCCACCCATCAAGATTTTGAAGCACCCAAAGGTTTACGTGTTGGCCAGGAGTGTCTCAGGAGCCACTGAGGCATGCGGAGAGAATGCCCCTCAGTGGGGGTGATCAGCTTGCTTCCGGAAAATGTTCGATGATGTGTCCACGATAGCCTATCCAGGAGCAGTGCCGCACTCATTTGGGGGCTTCGCAGGGCCCCCTTCGGGGCCTCCTGTGTGCGTGCGTGCGTGCGTGCGTGCGCGCGTGCGCGCGCGCGCGCGTGCTTGCGTGTTCGTGTGCGTGCGTGCGTGCGTGCGTGCGTGTGTGTGTGTGTGTGTGTGTGTACGTGTGTGTGTCTGCGTCTGCGTGTGCGTGTGCGTGTGCGTGCGTGTGTGTGTGTGTGTGTGTGTGTGTCTGTGTCTGTGTGTGTGTGTGTCTGTCTGTGTCTGTGTCTGTGTCTGTGTCTGTGTCTGTGTCTGTGTCTGTGTTTGTGTCTGTGTCTGTGTCTGTGTCTGTGTGTGTGTGCGTGTCTGTGTGCTTGTGTTTGTGCCTGTGTTTGTGTTTGTGTTGGTGTTGGTGTTTGTGTCTGTGCCTGTGCTTGTGCTTGTGCTTGTGCGTGTTCTTTTGCTTGTGTTTGTAATTGCGTTTGTGTTTGTGTTTGTGGTTGTGGTTGTGTTTGTGTTCGTGCTTGCGCTTGTGCATGTGCGTGTGCTTGTGTTTGTGTTTGTGTTTGTGTTTGTGTTTATGGTTGTGTTTGTTGTTGTGTGTGTGCTTGTGTTTGTGTCTGTGCCTGTGTTTGTGTTTGTGTGTGTGTTTGTGTTCGTGTGTTGTGTTTGCGTTTGTGTTCGTGTTTGTGTTTGTGATTGTGTATGTGGTTGTGTTTGTGTTTGTGCTTTTGTATGTGTTTGTGGTTGGGTTTGTGCTTGTGATTGTGCGTGTGCGTGTGCTTGTGCTTGTGCTTGTGTTGGGTTTTGTGTTTGTGTTTGTGTTTGTGGTTGTGGTTGTGGTTGTGGTTGTGATTGTGATTGTGGTTGTGTTTGTGCTTGGGCTTGTGCTTGTGCTTGTGCTTGTGCTTGTGCTTGTGTGTGCTTGTGCTTGTGTTTGTGTTTGTGTTTGTGTTTGTGTTTGTGGTTGTGGTTTGTGTTTGTGTGTTTGTGGTTGTGCTTGTACTTGTGTGGGTGTGTGTGTGTGCGTGTGCATTCGGGTCCTTATCATCGCCCTTGTCTCCGTTAAGCTCCCCATCCTCCTCATGTTTCCCTAACCTTCTTCCTCTCCCTGTAGTCTGGACTAGCATGTTCTTGCTTGATCTGATTCGGTTTGGTCGGGAAGCCTTCGACATCGTCTCAGAAGGCCGGGGGACTTCCGACTCTCCTGAGAAGACCCATCCCTTCTCATTTCCCCCCCTGGGCTCGCCGCCGAAAGAAGGAAGAGGAGGAGGAGGAGGTGAAGGAGGAGCAAGACCATGACGAGGCGTTGGCAGAGAAGATGAAGGATGCGGAAAAGAGCAAGTTGAGGATGAAGGGGGAGAGGAGCAGAAGGAGGCAGGCGCTGGAGAGAGGAGAGGGGGGGGAATTACAGACTTGGGAGATAAGGGAGTACGCTCTCCTGGCCAGCACACAGAAGCGATGAAGCGTTGGAGGGCCACCGCGGACCAAGACCAAGATCACGCAACCCCCGCCAATACCCTCATCAGGCGGTGCCCCTTGAGTTGATTTACGATCTGGAACTTTGGCTTTCGTGTCGCGCCGCCTGTTCTGGCCAACCGCGCTTCGGCGCGATACGCTAACCACGTCACGGTTCCCAGGCGTCAGCGCCTCGAGTTTTGTCCCAGTTTCCCGCCCCGCGGAGCTGAGCGACACGCCATCCGACTACAAGGCACAGTGTTTCGGGGAGGCCGCCACCGAAGCACGCTAAGCACAAGTTATGGGCGGCCTTCCACTGCCTTACTACTAGGAGGAGGTCGGATGGCGCCAGGACGAGGATTACTCCGTTCCAGAGCGTTCCGGAACTCTCTGAGAGGGCCGTGGCGTCCGAGACATTCTCTAGAGCCGCCAGATCTCAGAGAGTCCCGAAGTGTCCTCACACGCATTGATTCTCGTGCTGGCTTCGCCATACCTCAAGGGCATAACAAACGCCCATACCCTTGTTTACGAGGCGCTGTGCGCTGAAACTCCTGCGGGCTGACAGGATAAACCCTGTCCTGGCGGCTCTAGGCTTTGGGGGTTACCAGGAGGTTTACAGACCACGCACTTGTATCCCAGGGTAGGGTCGTTTTTTTCATCCCTCAAATACAATTCTGGGTCTTGCGGTGGTGTTTGAGGTCCCTCCGGGGGCTCGAGGCCAGGAGGGGCTCGTGCACCCTCTCGGGGCTCAGGGCCGTCGTGGCCAGGGGGTGGTGGTGTTTCGCAGAGGCCGTCTCCGGTAGGTGGAGTCCGTTGTGCCGATTGATTTTCCGAGTTGATCCTCGTCCTGGCTTCGTCTCCCCAGTCTGGGTTCTGCGGTGGCGCTTGAGGCCCCGAAAGGTGGAGCCGGCTTCGAAAGGTGGAGCCTGCTGTGCCGATGTGTCTCAGGAGGGGAAACAACACACAGACACAACTCATCCTCGGCTCGCCGGAAAATGTAGGAAAATGGAGGAAGGGGGGGGAGGGGAGACGAACACCCAGAAAATGTGAGAAGCTATGGGGGAACCTTTTGGGGGGATTCCTGCCTACTTCTCTGCGTGTCCCAGGGCCCTTCTGTGATTCTCACCCGAACTTTCGTCCTCGTCCTGGCCCCGTCTTGGCGGAGGGCGCGCCCAAGGCAGGGCCGTGCGCTCCCGCCCCAGGCGGAGGCGCTGCTGCGCTGGGAGCGCGCAGGCTTCGCGCGGTGCCCCAGCCTGCTCTCGGAGCGCCGCTGGGCCCCTGCCCGACGACCAGCGGTCGATCGGTCGTCGTCGTCGCCGTTGACAACGTCGCCCTTGTCGCCGTCGTCGTCGCCGTCGTCGTCGTCGTCCGTCGTCGTCGTCGTCGTCGTCGACGTCGTCGTCGTCGTCGCAAGCCGGTCGTCGAGGTCGACACCCTTCTTGCCGCTCATTGGGGGGCGGTGGTTCGCCCAGGATCTCGTGGCGAAGCCAGCTGCGCCGGCCAAGGGCTCCCCCTTGGACTCAGAGGAGGAGGGAGAGGAAGATGAGGAGGAGGAGGAGGAGGAGGAAGCGGGGAAAAGGTTGGAGAAGGTTACCCCTTCACATGTTATCGCTCTCTTCCTCCCCTCTTCCTCCTCCCCTGCAACCACCACCACCAACGTCCAGGGCCAGACGACGTGGACCACAGGCGCAACTCGGTGCATCGGGACCTCCGTTATGAAGCCCTCGCCAAGGCGAGGCTTCCAGAATGGGTCGCAACCTCATGAAAACGGGGCCCCAGCCTCAGCATGCAGAAACCTCCTCATATTCCTGCGCCCCCCATCTCTCCCCCACCTTTCCTCACGCCTGCCCCCGACATCCTTCCCATCCCCTCCTCGTTCGTCACCATGACGACTCATTCATACAATTCGTAATTTGTTCTGTTCCTCCCTGCTCATCGTCCTCATCATATACCTGATCATGCTGTCTCTTGCCGCTCCTTCCTGCTTGGCCTCGTCCCCATCAAACATACAACGAATAAGCCCAGCTTTCGACACTGGATATCCGATCAGCTCAAAGACCCAGAAAGCAATAACACGCATCAAAAGGCATG